AATAAAAAAATTTTTTACAATATAATTTTTTACAAATGAAAGAAAATTGTCATTTTTTTTTGCCACCACTGTATATGCATTTGATTAAATAAGTACTCATTTTGACTGAAAAATTACGTATTGAAAAACGTGAACTATTAACGGTTATACACAAAAACCATGTGGCCTATTAAAATGTAAATTTCAATCTTTCCGACAACATAATCGGTGCTTTATAATATTTGTAAAATCCAAACTGCGCATAAAAGTGAAGTGTTATGCTACACATTATGTAAAAATGTTATGTCATACTGAAATATGACTATCGACTTAGTATCCTCGTTCAATTGTTCGTTCGTTCACGGTGATAGAAAAATCAACCGTTTAGCAAAGTCTTCGTGGTCATAATCTTACCCATTTCAGACGCTCACGCTTATAAAAAAAAGATGAAGCTCACGAGATCTATCGATTCCGAACTCAGCTCAACGAACTGGGTTGTGTTCTCTTTAGGCACCTGCGGTAATGACAATAAAAAGAAAAACGACTACAAAGAAAACAAACCCAAGAAAAACGCAAAAACATTTCTTGTCAAATCCGTGTTCAAGAGTGATCGATATGCTGTGTTGATCACGGATCTGAGACGTGTTTGGTTTGAAGAGTCGAGTGAAAGAGAAATCATAAAGCGTGCCAAGGTACGAATTGTTCTCTTGTCCTTTCACCCTTTTGTCGCATGAAATCCAAACTGTAATTATTCTTTTAACAAGGATCCGGAATCAGGATTGGATGCCTCAGAGGAAATTCAAGTGCCCAATCTGTTGCACCTCCTCTCAGGGATTTTGGAAACTCAGAAAGATGGAGTAACTTACGAATTTGAAATCGTAAAAAATAAGGTAAAATATTATTTCTGATTTCCGTTGATTTGATTTGTTTGTCCCGTCATTTTCAACCAATCACACTCTCTTCCTATAAAAGCTAAAACTAAACACATTGACGGATCTGGGTTTAGTAACGTTGCGGTGGATATTCTTCTGTGCGATTATACCCTTATCATCGTCACCGGAGGACATCATGACTTCAGAAGGTATACTCGATGGACCCGCCATCCTATACAAACATCTCATGCTACCAATGATGAATGTCACGTTAGGATATATGCATCAGGTCGATGAGTTGGTTAGAATAGTGAAAGAGAAAGAAGATGAATTGTTAGATGTGATCGAGGGGAAAACGTCAACAAAGAGTACGTGTTCCGTGTTATCTTGCGATTAACATTCTTGTGGTAACAATCTTTTATTGACAAAATTACGTAGAACGAAAAACGGAACATTTTGATGGAGACAAGCTGGAAGAGAACATGAGAAAGGTACATGTTGATCAAGCAAATATTACTTTTTTTTTTTTTGGTAGCGAGTGAAGTTGCAAACTTTCTAAACTTTCTACCAAATTAGAAAATAGCCCTCCAGATTGATCGTGTGAAACAAAAAGAAATTGTTCCAATTTCCGAAATTTTAGCCGATAGAAGAATACGCACTTTATTTAAGGATGTTACAGAAAACATCACCTCAAAACAGCGGGCTGAAGAGGTGCCACGTAGTAAAACACCTGAAACACCGTCAAACTCTCAACTAAGTATTGATTTGGATTCAAGTCAATCGACCATTTTAGAAGAGGATTTATCCAATTGGAAATTAGTTGATTCCAGGTCTTTTGGTGCATCGTCTAATTCTAAGGGAACCGAGGTTCTGTCTAATGAAAATAAACATTCACAAAAAGCAATAAGCAAAAGTGCCGAAAAAGAGGTATGTGACTGAATCACATGCATTTTTTATTTTATAACTCATTTTCATAACCAACCACATTCGCACCTATGGCTACAGGAAACAGTTCCGGTGCAAAAAGAGTTGGAGAAACGTCAACAGATTAAAGATAGTCAAAAGAGGTACGATGAAAGTTTGAAAAAGAAGAAAAAGAAAGTTTGGTAAGATCAATGATAATTTGTTGAAATGTATGTAACGGCGAGGTTGGTGTAATCATAAAAAACTGCAACTGATAATATTTCAAAAGGCAATAAAAAGAACGTATTGTTTTAAAAAATGACTGTCGAGTAATGTAAAAACTAAATAAAAACGAAGGTTCATAATTTCACAATCAAAATAAGTAACGTCAAATAAGTGGCCAAACCAGCGATACCCGTCAATGCAACATATCTCCCACTAGTAACAAAAGGTTTGCTATTATCAAACACATCCATGTTGCTTTGTCGGCGGTAATACGAGATGACCAAGATCACACCGCCAAAAGCCACGAATAAGACTCCGATGCCGTAGAATGATCTTTCGAATATTCGCAGTATGAGCATCGAAAATCCAAAGGATGCCAGACATGTTCGCCAATATGCACCTTCAAAAGTCCGCTGACGGGCTGCATTTGAATTTGTTAAGAAAATTAGAGGTTTATAAAAACTATTGTTGGAAAAGGAAATAGTGAAACCTACCTCTGTCTTTCACCAATACGAAAATTTATTAAAAAAATGAGTCAATTCAATTAACTTTATGCGCTCAAAAACTGTTCAACTTATCCAATCGTCGACATTTTACCTGATTTCTACTAATTCGGCTTCAGTCATGGCGGGGGGTGACTCGATGGGATGCCGATCGTATTCGACCATTCTCTAATGATTTCACTCACTTTTAGGACTTATTAATTGCAAACTACTAGCACTAGGTTATTATTATCTTTGATGTTATGTTTGCGGATATGGGAGAAGCCTCAACAGTATCGATTTGATCAGTTGTGTTTGCAAAAGCGCTTAAATTTAAATGTACTAAATGTGTTTTTTTTGGTGTAATCGGCATAGTCATGCTTGAACACAAGCATACACTGACATCTTGAACATGGATGTAGAACCTTTACGCCACTTGTTGACGGCTTTATGTTACGCAGATGACGATCTATGCAATTCATTATTGTGCATGATGACGTTCGTTTGGTAAATCGGGAATGGTACAGTATATCAATACTTTGTCAAGAAAGACAAAAAACTTGTGGTGTTCTGAATGCAAATATGGGTAACATCTGATTTTATTAAAAGTTTGTTGGTTAAAAACTAAACTTTAAATTACCTTATATAAAATTTTGAAAATTTTGACTGTACAAAATTAAATACAATATATGAATTATACGAAATTGGAAATGCAAAATTATATTACCTCATAAAAATTAAAAAGAAAACATACTGTAAGTATAACAACATGAACAATTTGTTATTAATTAAATTATTGTAAATTTACATATGAAAAAATAAGTAATATACCCGCTATATGGTCACGTACAGTATATCAAATTCATTCATCTTCATTGATCTTTTTGCTAATAGCGTATCTCTTTTTTAATGGTTCACAATTTTCAATAAGAGTATATATTATGTTAAAGTGTTTAGTTTTTTAAAAAAAAAAGTATTTATGAATTCTGCACGAGGAAAAGAATCAAATTTCAGGACCATATACAGTATTACTCGCGCAGGTCATTTACGCTTTTCATTGGAATAAAGTTATCTTTTTTTTACGCGTTTTTCGTGTGCTTAAATGAATGAAACTGATAATTCCCAAGGCTAGAGGTTACACCATTTCGTTTAAATAACTCACTGACGTTGTTTAGTGTGTGACTTTTTCTCCGATGACATCCAACTAGCATCAGGCAGTAAATGCGAGACGGTGAGTCTGTGATCTCTAGTAAATTTAGATTAGAATCTCTCCAGGTGGGTACTACTAGCATCGGACAGCTTAGACAAGACGGTGCGGCCGTGGTCACTTGAGAATTTAAATCAGAATCCACGCATTCTAGAACATAGCAATCTTGTCTACAGCGTTGATACCTTCTTTCTGGGTGGCACCCAGCTGGCATCAGGCAGCGAAGATGATACGGCCGTGGTCTCTCGAGAATTTAGCAGAATCTACGTGTTCTAGAAGGACATACTGACATGATCGTAAGTATGACCTTTTCTCCAGATGGTACCCAGCTGACATCGGGCATCGAAGACAAGATGGTGCAGCTGTAATCTTTTAAAACCAATAAAGCTTAGGTTATTCTTATTTATGATCTTAAGTAGCCAGTCTATATAAATAAAACATTTGCTCGAGCATAGTCACACGGTGCGCAGCCAAAGCATTATGCCACCTGATTATGGTGAGAGTAAATATATCAATCGAATTTATCGAAACTTTACAGATAATACTTTTAAAACTTTTATCAAAATGATATTTTTAATTAATTTAATTTTTTTAAAAATAATATTTCTTTCTACCATAGAACGCATAGTTGATCTATAAGAAATTTGCTATTATTGCATTTTAAGTCTAAGATTCTAAAATTCTTTGTAAATTATCGCAATGATCCATGCACTTTTTAAAATAATCCATGCAGTTATTAGGAATAACATGAATAAAGCAAAATATTCATAATAGAAGTTTTGAAGTTTTAGAAAATTAACAGTTTTCTCCACGTCTCTAATCAGATGCTCTTGGTCCGTTAATATAATTATATCTTTGGCGTTTTTCGCCTCTTCAATGGCCTCTTTGGTAAAATTGTCGAATGTTGGGGCAACTATGACACCAATTCTGTTTGGATACCACTTGAAGGTCACGTACATCTTCTTTATCCTAGGTGACTCAATTAATATTTAACATTATGTTATTATATCACAAAGAAAACGTTTCGTTTAATACCTATACAATTTTCGATCTAATAAAAATAAATTAAAAAATCATAATTATATATTATTTTTGGTAATATCAGGTGAAAAATTTAAATAAGTTACCAGCAATTCTTTAACGAGAAAAGAAAAATGTTTACAACCATGATACAACAGTTGTTTTTTTTATACTCGCGCAGGTCACATGGTCCTGTGATAAATTACGTTTTCGGTTTTTTCTTAAAAACGATGACGGAATTATTGTTAAACTTGGTCACGTCTCGCGATTAATGATCGTATTGTACAAAATCTAAAAAACGACGCACACAAGAGAAGTGTTTTATAAATCGCGAAAGATGGACGATATTGTATATTAATATGTTGTATCTCTGTTCTTTGTAAAAAGATATATAGTGTTGGCAATAAAAATTACCAATTTTTTTTCATATTAATCTTTATTAAGTTCAAATATTAAGAAAGTAATAAATCAAAAACTTTATTCTTATTTAAATAAAAAATAATATAAAAAGATTTTATAACTCTATAAGATTATAAATTAAAAATAAAGTATTTTTTTTAATTTTTTAGTTATTATCACCAGCCCGAAATTTTACTTCAGAACAAACTAAACTTAGAAAATACCCAACCTTTTTTAAATTTTATAAATATAACATTAGTATGTGTATCATTATTAAAGAGAACATGTCATTAATTAAAACAGCATTTTTACTACACGAAAGTCACATGATTAATAAAGGTATGCCATCTATTCGGTCACGTATGCTGGATTCTCTATTTAAAAAAAACGAAAATAAAGAATGTGAAGGATTAGAAAAAATTTTCTAGTTATATGTCTGCTGTCTCGATATATTTTGTTTATTCTATCATAGATACAGCTTGCTAGATACTGTATGTTTGTGTTATATTCCATTTTTTTCTAATAGTTTTACTGCTTGTTCTTCAAGCTTGCTACTGAGCTTTCTGTATTTTGTTTATTTATCATAAAAATAACCTGCCCGACATGTTCGTGTTCTATTCCATTTTCTTCTCTTCGAGCCTTTTTTCTTTTGCTACTAAGCTTTCTTCTTTACCAGTGCTGTCGTCACCGGCAAGTCGGTCGCTAACTCAAACGACTTTTCACGTGACGATAATATGAACGCTTGGATATGGTACTAAATAAAAGTAATGCTTTAACTCTGATCCAAATTATGATTTGTATTCTCTTAACCATCACTCTAGATGCGTCTCAAGACTACAAGTGTCTCTTCACGGATCAAAGTTAACGACGGTTTCATAATTTAAGTCTTTTCTTTACCATCGCGGTGTTAGACTATTTAAAAGAATGTTACTCTCCAAACTATGAAAAGCTACCTTATTTATATTATAAGAACGCGTTATTCTCTACTAAGGCTATGACTCAATTATTACATCATTGTTACCATTCATTGCGCTATTGTCTCGCGACGCGTCACAATGTCGCGCACCCGCCCCTATTGTACCCACAACATAAAAATAATTCCTTTGAATATGCAATCGAGACTCAAAATACATTAATATTTTAGATTTTATATCACAAGATACAAAAATTAATTCCAAGTAAAAACAATTAAACCAACTTAAAATGATATCTGATATTTTTTTTTTTTTTTTTTTTTTTTTTTTTTTTTTTTTAGTAGAATGGGCTAAGATGCCAATCATTTTTATTGATATAAAAATCATTGATTATATATTATACATCTTCTATAGTACTAAACTACAGCTAATGCTAACCTACTCTACTTCTTAACCTTAACTCATAAGCTTATACTTAAGGTGGATTTATTTTATATTATGGTGTTTACGGGATATTTCTTATTACCAATACACTAATCTTTTGTAGATCATCTTGACATGTCACGCTTTTGGCTCATGCAGCTTACGAATCGGATGACAGTATATATGCACTTCCTAGCAATACTCCGAAATTAGTCCTTGGTTAATACTAGCTATCAAAAAAATGATATCTGATATTATAATTTGTTATACTGTATATTCTTTTCTATATAAAATTAACTCATATATTATTTATAATATTAGATTATAAACCCTGTAAATCTATAGTATAGTAGATAGTGTTTTCAAATCTTCAAACATATGTTCTTAGTTCAAATACCTATAGAAGACAAATATATAAAAATTATTTATCATTTGTAGGTTTATCAGTTTTCCTATAAATATTATACTTAAATATTTGAATCTTAATTAAATTTAGTTAGATTGTATGAAAATGGGATCTCTGATCTTTTTAAGGATTATAAGCTGAAACATAAGAAAAATAAATAATTAATTATTTTTATAAACAACTATAATAAAAATTTATTTATAAATAACTAATCATATTTAAACAATACAGATCTGTTTTTATTATAATTTATATATACAATATATATAGTACATATGTGTATAATATAAAAAAGAAAAAAAAATTTTTTTAAAGAACTTTAATGATCATATTGCAACTTAATTTATAAAAACTAATCATATAAAATATATTTTAATATATTTTGCACATAACCTTATATGTAACTTTACATTTATTAGTAATTACATGTCAATCTACTATATAGTTAATTTATATGTTAAATATAGCTTTATTTATTATACAATAGAAATACAAATAAATCAGGGTTTAAAAAACCATTCAGAAACTTTTGTCTCTTCTCTATATTATAGAAATAGGACTACCTTTTATTTAATACATATAGTATTAATTTTCTATTGAATTTATTATTAAGACTTCAAATTAAAAAGATAACAATAATTATATTTGAAAAAGTATATTATATCTTTAAAGTTACTATTTTAAGTATTTGAGTAAGATCTTGCTTTCAAGTTAAAGACAAGATAGATTCTTAAATAATAATAGAACTTTTGTTTAAATATAAAGAAAATAATTTTTCTAATAAATATTGATATCTAGCCTTATACAAATAATTTAT